TGAAATTCATTCATTTGATTGTATACTGTCTGCCAATACTTTCAATTATATTAATTAATACATTGACTGTAATTGTTTTAAATTTATTTCCAATAACTCATTGCTTTACAACAACGTATACACACAACAGCCTTAAGGCATCTGATTTGAAATCCCCGAAAAGTAGTACAACAATAAGTTTGTGATCACTGATCCCAACCCTATCCTACCCTTCATTCAGACAATAATTCATATTAAATGCACTCATTTTTACCGAAAGAGAAGATATAATAAATTTCCCATTTTTAATATATATAAATACGAAACAATCAAAAAACATTGAATACTAGTCTAAATGCTCGACAATTTCTTTTAATTCTATTCAATAATATAATTTCATTTCAATTTTCATAACATTTCAGATTATATTTTAACTCTTATTTCATAAATCCATAAAACTATTCCATTAGAAGTACTTTAAAGTAATTTTATTTTGGATAACATGTCCTGAAATACCATTTTCTCAATCGAAAGACAAATATTTTCAAAACTCAAATGAATTATTATTTGCCGTTTACTGTAATTTTTGATGATATCTAAGACAGAATTTGACAATTAGTTTAGACAAACAAAAAGCAAATACATTATACACTTTATTGTGTATTTCAATATTAACTAAACATTTCATTACATTTTTTGTTTCAATGGAAGTTAAACTTTCTCTACAAATCTGTGCCTTAAAATTCATTGAAAACAATATATAATTAATATATAATTCAATTATTAACGACAGGCAATCTTAAGGAACATTTATACAAAAACTATTTATTCACATTCACTTGTGCTTTATTTTCAGCTTCTGATGAAAAAACAAAATAACAAATTTGTGACCAATTTATTCAAAATTAATTGACGAAAAATAGTTACAAAAAACGAAAACAAAGATTGAATCCCTTTTCATAAAAACTATTTTCCAATTTACTATAAATTCTGACCGAAAAATACTAAAACTAAAAGCTATTTATGAGAAACCAATTGTTGATTACAATTAAACAAGAATTGAAACGATTGACAAATGGTTTATTTGTTTTATATAAAAACCATTAATAAATGTTTTAAATGATTGGCATTTGGTTTAGAATTATGTAAAAAGAAAGAAATGATTGTAAACTGAAAATGATTTTCTCTCATAACATGAGATGAAAATGTTGTGAAAATGTTTGAATTGTTGTGTTTTTGGGCAAATTCTCTCCAAAATTATTAAGTTTTGATCAAATTTTACTTAAATTGTGACTTAAATTAATTAAATGAATTGTAATATGAATTCCGTTTAAGAATTGTAAGATATATAACGAATTGAGACATAATATTAATTGTAATAATAATAATATCTATAATTTAAATGCAAATTATTTTTGTTTATCTTAAGTTTCAAATTATGGTTATATTAACAATAGTTTGTTCCGAAAATTATTACCATATTATTATTATTACATTTTTGGGAGAATTTGTGCAATTGTTGTACAGAAAGATGAATTTAAAATAATGTTAAATAAAAAGAGTATTTATTGCTAATCATTGCTTTTGTGGCCATAAAAAGGCTTATTTGCCACAGAAGTAAAAAACATTGACATAAACGATACAAATGGAGGAATTTTTGTATAAAAGATACTATTATTTGCACCGAAAATATGCTTTATATTATTATATATAAATATAAATAATTATATATTCATTACGATTACTGATAGACTTTATTGATATAGAAATTGTATACACTTTCGATTTGAAAAATAAATATTCAATAAAAATAATAATTATTTGGAAATTGAAAACACGATTAAATTGATTGTTAAGTGAAGTGATTGATAAGAATGGGTTGAGAGACGAACACCGGGTAACCGATGGGAGCGTTGGCCGCCTGAACAGTGAGGTTACGGAGGATTACGGGGTTGGCCTGAATCGAGAACCTCTCGTCGTCATCATTGGTCAGGTATAGTAATTCAAGCGAAAGTGAGGACCAAATGGCCTCAATTACAGCCCTGTTTAGTGAACACAAATGCACTCCAATGTCCTGCAAACTCAATAAATGGCTCGTAAAACATTCCTATCAATGAAATGGGTTTTGATTTAAGTAATTTCATTATTAATCAATTAATGCATACTTTGATGGCATCCTTTCCAATGGAGAATAGATTTCGTTTTTCAACAATCAATGACTCTTTCCATTGGGAAGACGTCTCGTCGCCGATAAACCAATTCATATCGTAATCTATTAAGACATCTATTAATTCATTAAGAGTGGCCATTTGCTCGGCCATCAGGATCTGATCCATCGCTATCTTTACAGTGTACTGAAAGCTCTTTATTATGATGTCATAGAGATCTTTATTTTTATCCAAAAATTGATTATTATATCCATTGTCTGGAATTTTTCCATTAAAAATTTGATAAATAGTTTGTGCACTCATTTCATTGGTTTTGGACATTGAATTGATGGGATAAATGCATGAAAAACAAACTAAGACTATTTGTTTGTATGAATCCATTAGCGATGATATTTGATTGTCAGTCATTTGTGCGCTCTTCTCATCGCATAATATATTTAAAACACTTTTGAACCAATCGTCGGAAAACATTAATTGTTTAACACTTTGATTAATACGTTTCCTATAAGTGTAGTCTAAGGAAGCGGTTAACCACTCATTAGTCGGAGACAACAAGTTATACCAGTCGTCCGCCAAATTATCTGATCCTAACATATGACTACTTATGTTTCCCGAAGAATCAATAGCTCTGTTCTCTTTGTTTCCGTTGTCATCAAAAGTTGCGAAAAAACTTTCTTTTCTCATGACTTCCGAGTTGTTGATTATATTTTCATTGACTCGTTCTTCGCCTTCAGTATCGTTTTCATGCAATTTTTCATTATATGTTTCATTTGAATCACTTGTCGGCTCTTTATTCTCGCTTTCAGACAATTGATTGACTAAAATATTTTTTGAACTTTTCAGACGAGTAGTGTCTTCACTGCCCAAAACGTCTTCTTCATCGTCAGACCACTTACTTAAGACATTATTAGTATTATTATTGGTTTCAAAGGCGGACAACAAATCTTCGCTTGTATTTTGAGTTCTGGTTTTGAGGACGTCATAGAATAACACACTTTTTGCCTCAAGATTTGGGTTAGTCTTAGTGTTTTCGACCTGTTTTTCGATGTCTAACACAACACTTTCTTGAATACTAGATATTTTATTATTATTTGTTTTATTCATTCTGTGCTTAAGTATAACCCAAACAAAGACTTTGCAAAACAGTGTCTTAATAGCTGTGGAAGTTTCAGGTGAGTCGATGACACCCGTCAACACATTTCTCGCATCTAATAAATAGCAACAAAAATTTATTCACATTTCGCTTATTATCTAAATTTATTAAAAACCATTTGACAAACGGCTAACTGTCGGCCATATCTTTACCTGAATATGTCTTAACAATTAGAGTATCTAAAGGCTGTATCGCGAACCAAAAGTATGAGTTGAATATAGTCTGGATTTTGGTCTCGGCGTTGACATAGAAGGCTTCATCAATCATATCGTCAATAGTGGTCGCTTCCACGGCATGACATGAGGTCTCCTGCAGTTCCAGACCCTTTAGTTGAATCTTAATGTAATTAAAGCCCGACTCCAGTACTTGTATCCAAACGAGTCGGTCGTCAAACCGGGCCAATAGAAAACTGCCGGCTCTGCAACAGCTCATTACTGGGCACTGATTTCCCAGACTTTTGATAAATTGTGGCACCAATTGCTCATAATATATGGTATCATTAGTTTCTATTTCGCTTTTATTCTGTTTGTAGAGATAGAAAAATTAATAATTTTAATTGGTGTATTGAGATGTGCTTTAAATAAATATGAATGTATAGTATATGTCATACAATATGTGGCCAGAAGTGGAGGGGACGCGGAAACGACATGAGATACAGCGGTAATGTGAAGAGCGGCAGAATTGGCGCACATATTATACTCGACAACAGAACCAATGATATAATGAACGGAAATATAAAAACATCAAAACCTAATTTGCAAATTGAATGCAAATATTATTGAAATTTTTAATAAAAATAAATAAAATTTTTATGTTTTCTAACCGATTAGACACAAACTCATCGGAAACCTCTGTTTTTTCATCACAATTGATGTGACCATTAAAATGATCACTAAATATAATTTGTCTAAAAATGCTATTAAAATATTGATTATGAGATCAAAGAGTAACCACTGGAGGGGTGGACTCCACTCAACGAATTTGATGCCAAATTTGCTCAAAATGTTTGACAAAATAAGAATAAATGAAGAAATCAATGGCTTTCTCCAAATTGATTGATGAATATTTAAAACGGCAAAAGTTGTCGGAATTGATTCAAACATATCTCCATTTGTATGCAAAGTGTTGTTTTGTTTCCCAGAGTTTGAATAATCAAAAAGATGTTTTAATTCAATGTTTGCATTTAATAGACATATTACGGGCAGAACTGAAAAAGGCATTCATTTGAAAGAAATCATGTTTTATTAGGATATATAAGAGTTAATATAAAGTTGAAAATAAAAAACTTACAAAAATGGATCATTATTTTCATTGAGATTATCATATATTTAGAATTGTGTTTAAATTGAGTGAACACTCGTATCCCCGACGAAGACCGGGGGTATAACGGGTTTCGAAATAAACCAAAAAATATGTAAACGTTATGTGAATATCGTATCAAAGATATAATTAACAGCAAAATGGCGTTAATATATGTAAACCATTGAATTATTGGAAATAAATTTAAAACAATTACAGTCAATGTATTAATTAATATAATTGAAAGTATTGGCAGACAGTATACAATCAAATGAATGAATTTCATCGATTTAATGGACTTTATGTCTTGTATAAAATTATTACTTAATAGAAAGCCACTGATTGTTGAGATAAAAATGATAGGCACCGGACGGTTGATAGCCATACATACTATCAATACAATAGTAGATAAAATTAATGATACAATTGAGTAGAAGATTGAATGAGACGGTCCGCCCCCGAAGATTATTATATTAATCCTTTCATTAAGCCATTGAAATAATGACATGAATGGCGGTAAGACACCAAACAACCAAAGAAGTGGATATATACTCAACATAAGTGGACATATTGTGCTAATTATGTCTTGTTTGACAGTAATTTGGTTTAAAAAGTCTATAATTAAAAGTATGAATACATGAATGGGTCGATTGAGCGTTGAGATGAGATCATTGGTCTCAATGCTGGCATAAGTGGCCGTTTCTGGCGGCGGACCTATAGTTAGCGAATGGTGTGCTATAATACATGAGAACCACGACATGGCATACAATACAATGGATGTAAAAGTGTTGTCCAAATGGTTTTGAAGAACTGTTAGATTCAAATCAAATACAGCCAAACAGACGAAACAAAACGATAGCATTGAATGCAATGTTAGGATTAAATATGATTTTTGTGTTGCGATCGGAATTATTTGAGACAAAAGACTCTTTGAATGACTTTTGTCGTCCACTTGTGGCGATATTTTAACAGAATTGTAATGTTTGACAAACAAATGAATTACAGTTATTATGAGAGACGATGTGATTCCGGCAATAATTGCTGCCATTAATTGTGATAGTATTGAGAATTGGATTAAAAAATTAAAACAAAATCCTATTATAAATGGATAAATAAATAATAATATTTTGCATAATTTTATCACAAACGAAATTCTTTGTTCATTTGAATCACTTTTTAAGTCAAAACCACCGAAGAATGTCTGAATAAGTCTATTACCGATAAAATTAAGTTTATATTCACTGACCAATGGATTATACATTTTGATATATGATTTATTAATAAAAATTAGCAAAAATAATTATATTATTATTATTATAAGATATACAATATATGTCAAAGATATATGATTTTTAGGTTTTCAAATAACACAGCGTTAACAACATTCTGTGTTTTGAATGATTATTCCGGCACTACTATAGCAACCGTATAGACCCACCGATTCTTTACATATACTTATAATGAGAATTAATTTTTATGTATTTATATTTATTTTTGCTAATGAACTTCAAGAATACACATTTTAAAATATTGGTATTTAATGCACTTAACATTAATCAATTTTATTGATTGAAATGTGATATTGATATTGTATTTCATTGGTATTGATGTTTTACATTAATTGATTTTAAAATTGTTATTATAATTATTGGTAGCTATTAAATCGATTTAAATTTCAAGTACATTAATAATGTATTAAATATTTTAGACTGAAATTGTACTTTATTGTAATGTATAACTCAATTAATGTATATATTTTTGTTGATTTTGAGACAGACTATTAAATTACTATCGAAACACTTTAATACTTTGAATAATTGGTGATAATCTTAATATAAATGTATTTCAATATGTATTATAAGGGCATAGAATTTAAAATGTTTTTAATTTATGAAAATACAAAACATTTAATAAATATAATAAAGAAATTGGTTTTGAAAATAGATGTGATTTATTCGTAAAACATGATCATATGGGAGGACAAGTGTGTCAATCATTTGATTTTGTTTCAATTTATAGTAAAGTTATTCTTGTTTATGAAACTTAATGCACTCGTCAACACATTTATAACTATAGTCTATAGATGTACTGCTAGACAAAAACAACATTTACCATATCAAATTTTATTTATATAAATTTAGTATTTTAATTTCTAATATACAACTTATCAAAATAATAATTATTTATTTTATTAAAATACAATATGCTAATTATTTTATGCATTATAACATATAAAATACTATTAATTATACTAAATCATTTATTATACTTTTAAATATATTACATAACAATATAGCGATTAAATTGCTGTAAAAATCTGATGTGCTTTTTTAAATAAATTAAATCTATTTATATCTATATTTAACTGAATATTAAGTATTAAAATAATATTAGTGTAAATTAATAAGTTTGATGAATATAATTAGACGACAATAATGACCATGCTAGGTTTACAAATATAACGTAACGTTATTTATGTGCACATAATGTCTATGGTTTGCATTCAAACAACAAAACATATTTTGTTTGCATTTGTTTTAGTGATTAGTCTTTGAATTGATTGTCAAATGTCTTCCCTATCGGTGTCCGTAAGCGTTGAGCCGTTGGATGAATATGTGGTCCAAGAGATCAAATATGACGGACAGGAGATGTATATCCAGTGAGTATTGCTTTCGTGTCTCAAACGAGTCCACAATTGCTGACCACAATATTGTCATTAATTCGCTGCCGAAGACCGCTCTCTATGTCCGAGAACTTCACCAAATCTGTCCAAAAGATCGACTTCTTGAAGATCGACAGCGACTCCAATGAGACGACTGGTAACGGATCCCAAGCGATGGACACCGCGGAGACGGAGACCGAGTCCAAAGAGTTGGCCACTTTTCAGCCCTCTCTCTGGCCTTTCGACTCCATTCGCAATAAACTCAAGTATTGTCTCAATTGTTGACTTGATTTTGAGTCCAAATCTAACCATTGATTTGGTATTTACAGACAGGCGTTAACTGAAGTGTCGGTCATTTACGATGTCCTCAGTATATGTAAAGACAAACGATATCTGGTTTTAGATCCGGTCTCTCAAGAACCGGTTGAAAGCAAACCGATCACCGCTTTGGTGGCCAAGAAAAAGGTGTCCTATTTTTTGAGCACTTAATTATCAATGAATACTAAGAAGTGTTATTGTGATGACAGGCGTTGGCGAATGTGGCGACCATAATATCCAGTGGTTGCGATCGCATGCGTTCCGCGCAATCCGAAGCCAATCGGAACCGATCCACAGATTTTCATTCAGAACTCTTTCATATGAGACAAAACTGGAGGTTAAGGAAGAAAGAGAATTCAATTCTCGGAGATCTTAGTTATCGAAGCGGTAATCAGTTTTGAATGTTTTGTGAATTAAAAACTAGTATTAAATTGAGTGTAAATCCAAAGCCGGATCACGTTTTCCACATTCGGGTACTTTTGAAGTGACCAAAAACGAGGAACAGTCGACTTGTGGGACGGGTTCGCGCGCCAGTGCTCTCAAAGTGAAAGTGCCCTCTGATCTGGAAGGCGGCAGCTTTTTTCAGGTCAAAACACAAAAAGGTTGGCAAATGTTTATGAAGTTTT